AGAGGGCTCACTCCTTTATGGAGTACCTTTGCAACTGCAAGGCAGGATTACTTACTGAGCCAGTCGCCCTCTCTGCCAGCAGATCGAAGGGCTGCTTGGTATTCCAGCTTGGTTTCCCATCAAGTCCAGATACAGTTTGTCTGACACGAGTCTATTCAGATGCCAGAGGATTGCTGGCAGTTCTCGTTTTCTGGGAACAAAACATCAACAAGCACCCCAGCTGCATGCCCTTGTGAGGCTGTTCAGTCCCTGTTTCAAGGCAGAGTGCCCTCCCTCCAGAGCAGTGCTTAGCTTTTTGTGTGTGGATAGATTTTACAGATCTACCTCCTGCTTCTGCACCTCCACCAGACTGTCCACTTATTCAATTATCTCTAATGATATTAATATTCCTGTCAGAGGAAAATACAGGGAATGAAATAGTGATCTCTCTCTCTCTCTCTCTCTCTCTCTCTCTCTCCTTCTCCTTCCCTGGCATCAAAATGTACTGTATTTTCTTTCTTCACTCCTCAAGTGGTGAACTGCAAATCTGAACTAGTAACCATAAAGAAGTCCCTGGGTCCTGTGATTACTGAAGTCATAATCCTGCTGCCCTTCTTCCATTTCATCATTTATTTTAAAGTTTCTCTCTGTCTGTTTGGCATAGCTGGGTGTCTGGAAGAACACACTGCCTGGAGAGCACAAAAATGTGTGCTGGGCAGCAAAATACCAATGCCTCGAAAGGCACAGGAAAATGTTAAAAAGATCAACAAGTCTGGGGCTTCTTGAGAGTTTTTGATTCAGAGTTCCTGTTGCATCCAAGGATGCTGCAACAGCCCAAGCAGTTTGTTACATGGGCTCCTCACAAAATTAATTCTTCATATTTTTCCAGAGAGGAAAAAATAGTTCTTTCTTCCCTTTCACCATACCAGGTGAGAACATCCTGATTTTTTTCAGGCCTTAGAAATAAGTATGTTGTAACCACACGTCTTTATTGAGGCTGTGGCCAAATCTGTAAGAAATGATGCTGTGACAATAGGTTTGAGATCTGGCAGCACTAGCAGCTGTGCGGACCCTGATGGTGACATCAGTGCTGATTTCTGGGCACAAAGTCCCTAACAGGAGAGTAGGTAGGTGTATATATCATATAAATAATAAATACCATAAAGCATATTTTACCCACAGTTACACAAACTCTGTCTTCACAGGCATGATAATGTCATGAAGGATGTGGAAAAACAGAATACGAATAATAAGCTTAGGTCAGATTTGCATTTCTGTGCTTTTGTGATGATGCTCCTTGTCTCCCTGCTATTTGCAGTCTACTTTTTGCCCTGTTTCCAGTCTGAATGTTTTTCAAAATAAAGGTATTTAGTGCATTATGAAAAAAAAAAAAAAGGTCCTTAAAAATATCAGCTTGTTTAGCAGTTTCTAGAACTTGGGGCTGATTAAGAGCTTGCTGCTGAAACAATGATTTAGCACGAGGCTGCAGCTGGTGTAACAAGAGAACCATGCCACGTATTTTAACCTTTACTAGGGGATTTGCCACATCTGTAAGTAGTAATTCACCACAGATTTCTTCCCTGTGTGCTGTCATGGATGGAAACATATGGTCCAAAACTGCAAAGACTGTAGTTTGGAATTTCAGATGAAAACTCTTCATAAGGACAGAGGCTCTGTGCATTCCCTTGTCCAAAAACACATGGAACAAACCAAAAATAATTTCAAAAGCACATAAGCGTTCCTTGGTCTGACAGCTCCCCCCTCACACAAAGCTTGTCCAGCCCCAGCTTTGCAAATGCACATCCCTTCCTTTCCAGCCTTGACTTGGCAGCAGTTTTTGTTGGCAGGATGCTGTTGCCAAGGGAGACAGAAAGGATGTGCAGCTGGCTTTCTTTCACCTGCACTTAGTGCTGCTGATCCTATTTATGTTACTGCAGAACCTTTGGCTTCTAAGGGACCTACCATCAATGTCACCGGACCTTTTGAAGAGTTTTGACAATGACACAAATAGCTGTGGCCTCTGATGAAAAGCTTAAAATAGGACCTTGCCAAAGAGAGGATGTAGTTGGTGTCACTGATGCTAACTCAAGCCAGGGTGTCCATTTCCCAAGCACTGATAAGAAAGGGGAAAGGAAGATTCAAAGCCATCCTAAAAGGATTTCTGAAAGCTCCCCAAACAGTGAGTAACTTCACATATATAAAAGTCACATGCTTGGCCGAAGGTAGCCGTGGCTCTGGGAGGCAATTCACTCCATCCACAGGCTGACTAGTACCTCAGAGAGGCACCTCTCCTGCATTAGCAAAAGAGGTCACATCGAGGATGATGAGTTTTAACTTGGTGTCCATCCTTCAGGTGATGAAAACTAGGTGAGAATAATCCCACCTCATACCCCTCTACCTATTTAGATTGCATCATCATAAAGCAAACCATAAAGGAATAAAGAAAAGTGATATTTGAAAAGGTGAGATGCAGTCTCTCTATTGTGATGCTTTCCAGGAGATGAAATCCCACTGCTTTGGACATTCAGAACCAGTTTTTACAGAACACCAAGTGAACAATAAGCTCTACAGAGCAACACTACATTGGCATAAAGAGTGTACTAGAACAGGGCCTGACAGCTTTTCCATGGTGATGCATTAGGAAGCATTTTTCTTTCACATATTAGAGGGTAAGTGGGCAAACACTAAATCAGCTGAAACTGGAGCTGCTGCCTCTCAGAGAAACAGCACACTATGGATCAGCTCCCCCGGACACTTCAAGGCAAGATGCCTGGTACCTGCTGAACTGGAAAGTAGTGGGTAGCATGAGGAAGTAAGAGCCACTTCTTCATGCGTAAGTCTTTTTCCAAAAACACACAGCTCTTAGGCCTGCTGAATTCCTTTAAAAATCCTTCCACTTGCTGTTGGAGGCAACCAAGTCCAAGGCATTTGATTCCAGCACCAGATGATATGTCTTTTCCAAACCTAATTTCTTCAGCCTCCAGCTCTAAGTAATTTACACTGACTTATCTATCAATCAAGGATGCTTATTCTGGACTCAGGATACTCTTTCATTACAGCACAGTCATTTCAACTTGTCTTTTCTAAGGAAACATTTAAAGGAACAGACCCTGTCTATCTATCCTCTTCCACCCTATGTTTATCTTTCCCACTAACTCCTGATCCATGGCTGATTTCAAATATTGTAACACACTGTGTGACAACTGATGAGGTTGGTGAGGAGCAGAGCACCCCACTTCTGGATCCCCTGCTTTCACGGTGCAGAACTTCTTCTCCTCTACTTGCAAAAGCTGTGCTTAAATTCTCCTGCTGCAGGTACAGAAACACAGATCTTGCAGCCAGGAGGGATGCTGTAGTTATGCACAGGCTGACTAACTTCTACAAACCCTGAAGGTATTTCTGTCATTTCATCTGCTCACTAAAAGTAATTTGGATGATTTATTACTTACGCCCCCTTCAAACACATTATTATTTCCAAGTGCCTGGTTATCCTTGTGCTTGATCTCCAATGAGAGCTGGTAATGAGGAGCTTGCACTGATTTGTTATATGAGCAGGTAAGATACAATTAGAAAGTAATTACTATATTTACCTGCAGGAAAGCTTTATTCTGATTTTTTGATTATTTCCAGTTGAAGGAAAAGGGACACTGCCTCAGAGTGAGTAAATGGGAAGGGGACAGGGAGGATTGTGCAAGTTATTTACAGTTTATCGTCTGGGAAAGTGGGAAGCAAACTAGGTCAGGATCAAGGGAGTCAGCATTTCTGGTATGGGGGACTGAGGACTAGTTTGGGGATACAGAGGGTCAGATGTAAGTGGAAATTATTCCCAAGATAGACTTGGGATATAATAGGGAGTGAAAGTTTCCATGTCCAGATTTTCTCCTGTGAGAATAGCACAAGGACGTAAGGTTACACATAAATCAGACAGAAAGGCTGTAACGTGCTGTTTTTATTATCTGATTTTATTATCTGCTGGATTATACAGGCTAGCAAAGCCTCTGGAGTGGATGTAAGGTTACTGGGGAAAGAAGTGAGCTCTTACTTTGTATTTCTATTTGTCCTTCCTACAGACTAGAGACAGCTTTCCTTTGGCTTCTGGGACAAAACTTTGTATTGCCTCTTTGCAGTCTTGAATTGAACCTGGCTTTAGCCTAAACTGATTTCAGAATAACCTGGATGTTCATCATGGTCCATCCACACTGAGCCACACGGATGCTCTGTGAGCTACTCTCCAGGGAGCTCTGCCTATAGCCGGAGGGGGTTAGCAAATCCCCTGCACAGCAAAAAAACAGAGGTGCATTCCTGGAACTCCAGAATGTTAGAGGTGCATGTTGCATTAGGACATACAAAGATAAAAGGAGACGATCAAATTCCCTTCTTGAAAATACCAGCTGCTGGCTGCAGAGGTGAAGAATGGGGTTTTTGCTCCATTAGGTGAATTGCAAGATTGCACAGGTACTGAGATATGGATTTTTCTCCATGCTTTGAAGCTGGGTATTGGTCTGGAAGGAATGATGGTCAAGTTGGTGTAGTAAATCATATGTACTTATAAGTAAGGTCACAGCAGGAGCTGGATATAATTTCTGCTAATGAGAGCAGGACTCCACTGCTTGTATTTCACTCGGTGTTACTGCTGCTGAATTTGATTCAAGAGGTGGAGATACGCAGTATTGTACACAAGGAACAGAAGGGTGAGATGACACGGTGACACAGAGTATTTGGTTAGTCAGGGGATGAGTAATTTAAATGGAATTAAATTAACATGTGAAGTTAGGAAGAGGATCTCACTTTATAAAAATCTGCTCTACCAACTCTAGTTCATTCACTTCTGCAATTCGTATTTGCAATTCACCACGACTGCAGTTACACAACAAAGTAAAACGTTTCACCTTCCTGTGTAGATGGCCTCTTTTTACATCCCCATTTGCATTAAAAAGAAATAAAAGATTCACTACCAACTATTTGTGTTCTGCTTTGGAATGCAATTTTGAACATGTGTTGGTCTTGTCTTTTCACAGGAATATATTGCATGTCTGAAGCATCATTTACATTCGATGATTTAAGTGTTCATAGTGGACTGAGGTCATCCTGCCTTACACATGACGGGCTGGCACTTGACACCATCAATATAGAATAACTGTTTGGAATTACAGCAATAATAATGTGCAGACCCCCTACTGCAGCATTATTCACACAGTACTTTACAGGTAAGATATTTTATTTGTCTTTCCTTTCTGGTTAAACCTGCCTCTATTTATACTCAGGAAAGAATTTACCCATTTCTGAAATGTCATCACCTCCACACTTTATTTTATTTTGGAAGGAAATTGGAGTGACAACCCTAACAACTTCTGATTATTCACAGAACAGCCCTTGTGAAGAGATTAAGTGTACCAGCTTCTCCATGTTGCCCTGTCAGCACACAGCCCTTCAGGGATCTTCTCTTGATGTGAAAGTTAGCTCAGCCTCAATGCTCATTCATCCTTGACTTCTGTTTCGTTAATACCAGTTATGTTGTTGGTGATATGACGTGGACATCTTATCTCTCTCCTTCCCCCTCCAGAAATGACACTGGGAGCCTCATTTCATTTCAGTCAGGCTATAACACAGTTCCCAAAGCACAGTGCTTATTTTTCAGCTACTGCTGATGGGAGCTGGCATCAGAAGGCAAAATAAAGGGCAGCTGCTCTTCTATCTCTCCCCTGCACATCTCCCCTCCAAGAGCATGATGGCTGTGCAAAGCTGTGCAGCAACCTTGGGTGGCTACCAAGAGTACCAAGTGCTCAGACAGCTCTGCCTTTAAAGTACATGGGTGTCCCATGGTGAGAAAGCACTGCAGGAGCCAAGTTGAGAGGTGCTTGTCCTAATGCTTTGCTGGGAGATGTGCCTCTGCCCCGTGACCCAGCTGCTCTGCTCTTGAAGGCTATTGATTTTTTATCTGGTGGAAATGCAGAAATGCCAGCCATGGAACAGGGACATTCGATTTCTGGTAATGTCAGTGCCTACCTCAGTGGTTGCACCTGGCTTCACTGCACTGCCCTTAATATGTGTGACTGCTTGGGCCTCAGAGAGGGCTTGAGATTTGCTGGTGCACTGGCAACAAACTTCCAACACAGCTGTGAGCTGTTTCCTTAGAAACAGTGCAAGTGCAAACATACCCAGAGGTGCATTTGGAAAGACAAATTCATCTCTGAAATAGATAATAACATGTTTTTACTGCCTACACTGCTCTTTTCCAGCTTTCCTTGGTCTGGACTTAATTTATTAATATGCAAAACATAATCTTGAAACTAGGGTGCCGTGGAGCTGTTGACAAACAAAGAACTTTTCTGTTCAAGTACTTTGAATGAACTACAATTAAACATCACTCTGAGTCCTCACCAGACAGATGCTGGAGGAGCTGTGTGGCAGTCAGATGTTACATTCTCATGAAATCCAATGATAATACTGACATAAGTGTCTAGTCACACTTTTGCCTTATTACATTTTCCCCCTCTCTCTCTTTTTAAGCATTCTCAGCTGTCATTGTACCCAAAGAGCAAAATCACTCCCACAGTAAAGTGCAATATCAGGACATAATTCTGTTTGGAGACAGAGCACTAAGTGTGGCACATCAGTGTTAAAGCTGCAGGAGAACATTAGTCCTTGCATTAGCATTAACTACCATGGCTAAGAGAATATATTAGCAATAGCCTTAGCAAAGGTCAGGACACCAAGAGGAAGGAATATCAAGAAGCATTATACAAAGGACATATTTTAAGTGCAGAGTTTCAGCCCTGTTCAGTGTGAGTTCAAAGGACTGGATGGAAATAAATAACAGAAGGCTTGCTTGAGGTACCAGTTCCAGGACCATAGAGAGCAGTGTCAGGAAAAGTCCCCTGGGACTGATGGTGGCTTCTGCTGCAGTGGCATGAATCCAGGACAACTCCTGTGCAATTAGAAAGATTATTCAACATACAAATGACTCTCAGAGGAGAACAGAGGAAACATTAAATGGACCTGAAGAAGTAAAACACAGCTGGGAGTTGAAGACCAGTGACCAAATTAGGAGTAAGAAGTAATATGAAGATGAAGGGCAATTAAGAATTGCAAGAAGTAGTCAAAGGAGTGGAAAGGTTCATCTTTTGTTCATTTCAAATCTGGGTACTGGGTGGACCATCTGAAGCCATTGGGATAGCTTAGCACAACCCTGGTTGGGTACTTGGGTGCTTAATTTCCCCCTTTAATTTGTTTGTTGGAAATCGTTATTTTGGTCAAACAGGAGATTTAAATAACTCAAGTACTTGCATACCAAAGATGTGTAAAACAGCTGCTTAGCCCATGATTACTCACAAACAGTAACTTGTATATAGTGGCTAAAGACAAGTGATCTGGTGTGAACCAAGATCAGTGGCTGAAATCCCTGCAGTAACAAGAAACCTGCCTAAGGTTGTATCTTCATGCAATCAGAATGTGACTTTTGTTTTGAGCGCTGCCTCAGAAAGGCACTGGAGCAAGAGCTGCTTCCGTCTGATGTCGGTGGCATCACCCACGTGCCAGAAGTGTCACACATGATCACACTTCACTGAACTGGGACTGGGGTGGGAGCAGGCAGATAAAGCAGGGGGAGCAGCAAAATTGACATGTACCTCTGCTCTTACAGGCTTAAACCACAGACGAAAGCACAGAAGAGCTTTGAGGGGATGTACAGAATACAGCTCTTTATGGAGTTACATTACTCTCCCATTCCTCTGTGCTTCTTTATTGTATATTTATTCAAAAGTGTCCCTGCTGGGAGCTGCTCCTGCATGCTCACTCACTGTCAATTACATTGCCAGAAACACAGCAGCACCTACAGCAACATTTCTATTGCTTTACAATTATTTCCTGAAGATGACCTTGGGTCCAAGATATTTATCAGACATGTAATAAAATAAAAAGAGGGAAAAAATGACACAGCAACAGTTTGCAAAGATTTGTTTGTGAAGGTGGTGTGATTTTAGCTTGCAAATTACTTTGTACTTGCTATGGTAATATAAAGCATCTCTTCCTCAGAGATCCATGTCAACTTCTGCCTCTGTCTAAATTAATGCTTCCAATTAGTCCTGTTTTATTGTGCATCCATCACAGAACGTTCACTGTTTGGGCTTTGAACAGTACAAATCCATATACTGATAATTATGAAAAAATACATTTCGTAAGACACAAGTGTTCCATATTTATCAGCAGTGCCTTGGGTGCTTTACAGGCTTTTTTTTTTCCTGAAATATTTTTAATTTCTGCAGTCAATTTCATCTTTGTGTTTAGTTACTAATTGAAGTTCAAAGGCCGTATGGCTCTTTGCACTGGGTTCAGGCTTGGCTAACTTCATTTTTTCAGCATGTCCCTTGAAAAATGCTCAAGCTACCATGCACGTGTCCAAGGCACTAACTGATCTTCCAAGCTACGTGGCACACACCATGCAGGAGGAAAAAAATATCCAGACTTATTCCCTGAAATTACATCATATTACCTAACTTATCCAGTGCTGTTTCCAAATTTTGCCTCTTTTCCTATGTGAAATCTTTGGCACATGTTAAAAATGTATGTGGAATAGTTTAGAATGGACTGAAAGGAGGGTAGAAGAATGTACCTAAGGCACAGACCAAAATTATGGTTTCCTAATAAGCCTGTGGTTTTAAGAGACATATAACTGTCCAAATAATTATTTAACAGGGCTAAAACATTCCAGGTTTTGAGTCAGTCCAGAGGTGATATTTCCAGAAGAGAGGAGGAGAGGGAGTGATGCAAGGCCTAACCCTGAACTGAAACAGAGGCAGCACTGTCTCTGCTCATTCACTGGGGTCCTGGGATCAGCTGGACACAAACACCCTTTCAGCTCTGGAGCAGCTGCTCTTGGCAGAGCATGATTAAAACATGATTAAAAAGAGGAATATGATGACAATTCTTACAAGCTGGTTTAAAAATGATCCCTGAAAACAAAAGAGAGGTTTGTTTTTTATATATATGTAGAGTTACTGAAAAGCAAAACATCTGACACCAAGCTTTTATCTGAGCAGGAGATTTTAGCTGATTCTTCACAGTCACCTATCCAGTATCTCTGGAGGCACGGGAAGAGCACAGCCTCCCTCAACAAAACCCTTCTGATGTAAGAGAACTGCCTGTGTAGCACTGAATTATCTGAACAGCTCTATATTGCTGCTTATGATGGACCTTGATGTGAGTTAAATCTTTCTCCCTTTGTAGCTCCCAAACAACTGTCTGGTGAGAAAGGGAGGGCATCAACAGCTCTGGCGCCAGTTGCACACTGCATCAGGGCTTTCCTGCTTGCTGCCATGCAGCCCATAAGGGACAAAGTCACGGGGAAAGCTTAGCAGGGATAAAACCAGCAGGTTGCAGCAGAAATTATTCTTTAAAATCCTTTAAGTTTTAATGAAGATTCAGATCTTTTTCTACAGAAGGCTAATTTTTTCCCTGTGTGATTCCATAAAGGCTATTTAACTCTAGAGGGTATTAATTATTCACAACAGGTGAAGGTAAATAGCTGGTGGAACACAGCTCTCCAGCCTGGAGATAGCATAGATAGATAAATGTGGATGGATGGAGATGGATGGATGGATGGATGGATGGATGGATGGATGGATGGATGGATGGATGGAAGTGGTTCATTCGGCTTTCCCAGCACCAGGACCTGTGGGATGAGCAGGTCCCACCTAACCCTTCATTCTCAGCTCCTGGTCCAGCAACACACATATCAACTGTCTTGCAGGCTCTGTAGAGCAACAGACCTGACACAAGCTGAGCTTGTGTGAGTCATCTGGCCCTGCTGAAACCCAAAGAGCAGTGCCAAGCTGGAGCCATCCAGGGGCTGGCTCTGTAGCTGGACAGCTGCAAGGCCAAGAGCACTCTGTCATTACCACCCCCTGAGAGCCAGCAGTGCAGACTGACCCCTCCAGAGCTCCAGTCTTGCTGGCACAGTCCATTAACAGGGTCATGTTAATGCATGCTTCTCCTTACACCTCCCTCCTGAGACAGTGCTGCCACTAGCCTCAAACAAACGAGCTGATTTCAAGGGGGAAGAAAGAAAAGAGAGGACATAGGTGGATGGCAGAAAGGGAATAATATTTTTAGATGGTAGGACAAAATAACCAATTGCAATCTGTTTTAAAAAAAATTATTCACCCGTTCATTCATTCATTCATTCACTCATTTGTTCACAGGCATGAAT